AGGAGCTCGCGCTGGCGATGCGAGGGGAGGTCGCGTCAGACGGTCTCGGCGCTGGGGCACTGGTGGAAGGTGGCGACGAGTCACGAGTATTTCGCATCGTGGAAGCGCCGTCTGGTCGCGAAGGCAATCTTTATGTTGGTCTGTGTGGTCAGGTTTCGTGACCCCGACGCCTGCGTGGCGCCGACGTGCGCATTCGGGGTGCGGGATCCTGGGAGTTCGGAAACCGGCAGAGCCCGAGGTGCTTCGCTCTGATCGACCCTGATGCTGGCGCGGAAGGTTGGGATGACCTGCGTTGCAACCGTGCGAGATGTGCGGGGAGTGCATATCTCAGTATCTGTTAACCGATCCCCATTCCCATCCCCATTCACATCTCGAGCCCCACCGTCTCACCACCTCAGTTGGGGGTATGCCCCTCGAAACCCGAAGAGAGCAGCCTATATCCCCATCCAGGGGGCTAAATCGGCCAGTGGGGCCCAGCCCACGCTGGTGGGGATGGGTATCGGTTAGTCTATGCTCAGATGACAGTGCATTGCAACCGTGCGAGACGTGCGGGGAGTGCATATCGCCTCGGCCGCCCAGGGATCCATCGACGGCGACCCCAGCCGACTCGGACGACACTCCCGCGACGGCCCCTGGAGCCCGCGAACTGCTTCACATCATCGTGGCCGCAGCGAAGCGGGCACTCGACGCCATGGATCGGTGTGGTACCCCCAGGGAGAGCTCTACGACGCAAGAGCCACATAGTCTGGTTGGTCGGTTGAGACATCCTCGCAACTCTGACCCCAGAGAAGCCCTGCCCCAAGGTTGTCCGGCCACTTCCGCTTGAGACCTTCTCGCAACTCTGGGTTCCGGGGTTCCCTGAGCTGAGGTATTCCGGCCACTTTCGCTAGAAGCATCCTCGCAAATCTGGATTCCGAGATGCCCTGCCGCAGAGTAGTCCGCCATTTTCACCTGAGACATCCTTGCAATTTTGGATTCAGGGATGCCCTTAGCTGAGGTGTTCAGGCCATTTTCGTTTGAGACATCCTCGCAATTCCGCGTTCTGGTATGTCCTCAGCTGAGGTGGTCAGATCATTTTCGCTTGAAACATCCTCGCAACGCTGACATCGGAGATGCACTGCCCCGTAGTAGTCTGGCTTCTTTCGCCTGAGACCCTCGCACCTCTGAGTTGCGAGATGCCCTGAGCAAGCGGTCAGGCCATTGCCGCCTGAGATACGCATGTGTATGCGCACCCATTGTAATTACAGATGCATGCGTGCACCACCAACACAAACCTGCGATTGACATATACATATCATACACATGCTTATATGTGACATGTATACACATACACAACAGTATTCATGTGTGGTATACTCATAGATCTATGTGCAGAGCGTGCATGCGCGCGCGTGTATACATGCATGCGCGCATGTACGCACGCGCGCACCCCGCTTGCGTGCGACACTCACAGGACCAAGGTGCATGGCGCGCAGCGCCAATGCAGCCTTGTATATATATATATGTATGTATATATATGTATATATATATAGATATATATATATATATATATATATAGATCGCAGGCCCGTTGGCGGACATTGTCGGGACCTCTCAACCAGAATGGCTGTTTTGGGTGGGTCGGCGCGTCTCTCATCCCAAGGCCCAACAGTCACACCGATGCGGCGGGCATGGCACTCGGGCCTCGCAAGGGGGAGACCTCAGCGGTCATACCACTGGCCCGTTCAAGGGCGGATCTTCGGGCCTCCTCAGCCAGAACGGACCGTTGTGTGTGTGTGTGTGTGTGTTGGTGGGGAGTATTCTGAATAATGCGATGTAGCAAGCATGGCATTTGGACCTCCCATATGGGGAGCTGGCCCGGGCGTTACCACGGGCCCGTTCGCGCCCAGGATGTCGGGATCTCTGAGGTAGACTTGCGTGTTGGAGGGTCCGCCCGTTTGTGTTCAATGCCCACCGATCATGGCAACATTGCAGGGACTGCATGTCGGCCTTCGGTGGGAAGAGCCGCAAGGAGTAAGTGATGGCCCGTTCGTGGACTGGTTTTCGGGACCTCTCCAGTGTAATGGCTGTTTTGGTGCGGCAGGCGCGTCTGTTTCCAGAGTCCAGTGATCGCCGCGATGTTGCAGGCATGACATTTGGGCCTTCCACTCGAGAGAGCTGCCAGGGGGTACATCTCGGGCCCAGTCGTTCCCGGATTCGTCGGGATCTTTGGAGTGGGATGTCTTTTGTAATACATCCTTCCGCTCGGCATCATTTCGGGATCTTGGCGCTGTTTATCTTGCTGGACTGCACGGGAACGTTTTTTTGGACGAGATAAAACATCTCGCGGCGACCGCCATTCACGTGGCTGCCACCTTGGAGAAGCAGGCCGCGCAGTCGACTCTGACAGTGGAGTCCCTGATCGTCGGCGGCGGCGGTGGCGGCGCTTCCGGCGGCGGCGGCGGCGGCGGCATGCTCGGATGTTTGGGGGATCACTGGCACCTCTACGGAGGCAACGAACGGAGGAGATTCTTCGATCGGCCCCCTTCGTGGCATATGGAGATGACACGTGATAGTTTGTGTTACTCATTGTTTTGCCGATCGGCCTGGGCTCTCGCACCCTCCCCCTCATGGAGTAGATCTTGGCTGTTTTTGGCGCCCGTTTCAAGCAGGTGGGGTCTCCTCCCCACGGGAGCCCACTGCTGCAAACAGCCGCACTCAGCAGGAGTCCTGAGCAAGAGCCCCCCCTCCCCCCTTTTTGCTCAGTGTCGAAACGCCGAACAAGAAAACGTTCACATGACAAGGATTCGGATGTTCCAACCTGCTGCAGGCTGGACCACCAGCAAAAGTTCTAGACGTTTCGAGTAACCCCACCAGCTTACTTCGGTGCGGCCCGCGTCTAGCGCTTCCATGCACTTCCCGGGCACATTCTCCGCTGACGCGGACCTTCATCTGGGTCTTCTTCCCGCTGGCGCATGATCGCGATATTCGACGCTCGTTTCTGACAGTTTCATTGCCTTCGGCGTCTGGCTGCTGATGACGGTTTAGGCCACGGTCGCTCCACTCGCTGCGCATGTACCTGGAGGATGACGTGTCATTGTCGTTCACCGACCCAGCCCTCCGCCTCTGAGCGGCGCTGCCTGAGTTTTTTTTTCTCCCTCGTTTCGTCGTCTTCGTCTTCCCGTCTTCTCTTCGTTCTCTTTCGCTTCGCTCGCGGTGCCGTGGTGCGTCGCGTCCCCTTTTTTTTCCGTCGTTCCTGCGCAGCCTCTGCTTAGTGGCCCCGTCCTTTTTCCGCGTCTCGCCGGCGACAGTTGCGCTGCGCTCTTGCGCCGGCGTGCGCTCTTGGCGCGACTTTTACGACGCTGCGCGGGCGTCCGCTTGCGGTCGCGATCAAAAAGTAACCCAATTTGCCCATCCAGAAACGATGCTCAGAGGAATTGCCTCGGTCAGCGAAGTGGGAAGCGCAGAGGAAGGGCCTCTTGGCGGTCCCGGGTGCCTCTTAGGGCGTCTTGGGTGCCTCGGAAAGCTTCTTGGGGCCTCTTGGGGGTCTTTTGGGGGCCTCTTGGAGGCCTCCTGGGCGCCTGTTGGGGCCTCTGGGCGCCTCCCGGGCGCCTCTTCGGGCCCTCTTTCAGCGCCCTTTGGAGCCTTGGGAGCGCTCTCGGAGCCCTCTTGGGCCATCTTGGAGACATGTTGAGGCCTCGGAGGGCCATCGGAAGCGAAGCGGCGAGAAAACGAAAAAAACATTGATCCTCCCGAGGTTTGGAAGGATTTTGGCTTCTTCGGGGCCTCCTGGGTGAGTTTTGGGCCACTTGGAGCCTTTTTGGAGCGGTTTTGTGGCCTCTTGGAGCATCGTGGAAACCATCTTGAGGCATTTCGGAAATATTTTAAGCCATCTTGGAGGTTATCTTGGACTCTCCCAGGCGCTCCTGGAGTCATCTTAAGCAGTGCCCCCCCCAGGAAGCTAAAATGTGGCCACATCCTTAGTACTATCAGTGATTTTGGCATGCTCGCCGAGGCCTCTTGGAGCGTCTTGGGTGCCTCTGGGGGGCCTCTTGGGGCCTCTTGGGGGTCTGTTGGGAGCCTCTTAAGGGGCATCCGGGGGGCCTCTTGGGGGCCTCTTGGGGCCTCCAGGCCACTTCTTGGAGCCATCTCGGGGCACCCGTGGGCGCCTTGGGAACGCTCTTGGGGCCATCTCGGAGGAGATCGATCAAACAAGAGGGGAACTTGAATCAGGGCTCCCTTCAAGAGGCCAACATTGCGCCCAAACCAATGTAAAAACAATGGCTTTGGCTTCCTCGCCGGGGCCGTTTTGGACGCTCCGACCGCTCGCGGAACGCCCCGTCCAAGTCCAAGGGACGGGGTCGGGGGAGGGGCAAGCCCGTCCCCGAAAAGAGGGAGGGGTGGAAGAGGAAACGCTTTTGACCACCTACGCCCAGAGGGCTGGTGGGACTTTCGGAGGTCCGCGCAGATCTTTTGGACTCTTGGATCCGCACTGGACCCCTCTGGCACCGACTCCCGCGCCGACCCTGGCGCCATCCGCGCGCCAGGGAACTCCGAAAGTTGCTATATTTGTGGCCATTCGTTCCTTAACATCGGAGGTCGCCGCACCCCTGCCGCTGCCCGCACTCTGGCTGCTAGGGGCGGGCAGGGCATGGCTAAACAAAAGCTTAGCTTCCAGAGGCTCGATGTTCGTCCATGCCCCCGCTCCGCCCCCTCGTGGAGTTCTGGCGTGCGCAGGGGCATGGATCATATGCCGATCGCCTGTAGCAATAGAGCGTGGAATAGTATGTTCCTACTTTAGCTTAGATCACCAGAAAGACCTTCGAACACCACGACAGTACCGAAACGTGAGTGCTTTAACGTGTCGGGCCCTGGGAGGCGATACCCGTTCGACACTGTTTCGACACTTCTCTGGGTTTTCGAATTTATTTTATGGGATGTGGCCTTGAAGTGCGATGGGAGCAACATAAGCCTCGAGCCCTGAGCCTCGAGCCTCCGACCCCCCCCCGCCGCCGCCCCAGGAGTCCGCCCACGAGCTGGCCATCCGCCGCGGGAACCACCACGAGCTGGCGGCCCGCCGCGCACACGAGGAGCCAAGCCTGCCGTGTCCTTTTGGGCGCGCCCTTTTGGGGGTCGTCGTCGTCGGCGGGCGGCGTCGTCGTCGGCTTCGTCGTCGTCGTCGGCGGCGGCGTCGTCGTCGTCGCCTGCGTCCGTCCCAGCAGGAGGCGGCGGTGGGAGCGTCGTCGTCGTCGTCGTCGTCGTCGTCGTCGTCGTCGGGAGGAGGAGGAGGGAGGAGGACGGAGGAGGAAGAGGACGCGGAGGAGGAGGAGGAGGAGGAGGAGGAGAAGGAGGAGGAGGAGGAGGAGGAGGAGGAGGAGGAGGGGGAAATGGGAATTGGAGGGGGCAGGGGGTGGGGGAATGGGGGATTTCGTCCCAGGGCCTGTTTCAGAAGGAAGAAGGGAGAGGGGCAACCTAGGTGGGCTCGCGCCATATCTTACATTCTACCCCTCCCACCTATCCCTTCTCATTGCGCAGTTTTCTGTTTTTTTCCTCTAGCCGCCGACGTCCGTCATAGCGGACCTGAACCCCACGAGCCGATCCCATCACGTTGAGCGAAATCAAAGGGGGAGATACGTCCATCGGAGGAGTAGGTGGCGGATGGGCAGAAACATGAGGATGAGGAGTGAGAAGGACGAGGAGAAGCCGCAGCAGCAGGAGTGGGAGGAACGGAAGGAGCAAAATGACCAGGGAAAGGAGGGGGAGGGGAAAGGAGCGGGGCGACAACAACGAGGAATGATTCGGATCTAGATTCATGGCCCGCGCTATGGCGAGAGCGCCATGCTGCACGACCGGAGCAAAGCGCCGATCCTAGATTGAGGCCCGCGCTGCGCTGCTGCGGGAACGTCATCTTGGAACAAGCAATATGACAAAGCAACTCGTGAACTACTGTGTGATTATGAGGATAGCAGGCCGGGATGATTCCAGGATGTAGTCGGGGGGACAGAGGAACGCCGTATTGGGAAGGCCTTGCGGCCGATGCCGCCGACCCTGACTGGGGGTCGACGACGGCGGCGGCGGCGGCGGCGACGTCGGTGCTGACGCCCCGGAGCCCTTCTTGGGGCTCCCTTGGGATCTGCTCGGGCTCTCTTGGGGCCGGGGCTTGGGC